AGGACATGTTCATAAACACACTGATATTCTGAAATAACATGTTTCAGCACATATTGGAAATGTAAATCCTTGGTCTCAGAGAGCAATGCATCTAACAACTGAATGCACTAGTTGCCTGTAGTCTGAAAACACATGTCTTTGTTAAGTGTGCTAGACTGATACGATGTACCCTATCTTCCAGAACTTTCCAAGTATCTACCAAATCAAGTTGCAAAGGACCTAACTCATAAAGTTCTAGCTGTTTTTTTAAAAATAACTATTTCACTTTATTAAAAACTACACTCTGTGACCCTTAAATGCACTCAGGGCATTTGCAGGCAAATGCACTCAGAATAATACAACATCTGTCACAGCCCCAAGCAAGGGTTTTTTTAACTATACATTAATTACTGGGCTATAAAGCAAAACATTGTTAAAGAAGAATATGTTGGTTTTTCAGGGGTTTTTTTGTTTGTGTTTTTTTCTGGTTTTGTTTTGTTTGGGTTTTCTTTTTTTTTTCTTCCAAAGGACAAGTTATGGAATGACGAGAATCTCCAGAAAATGTTCCTTCCATAGAACATTAAGTGGCACCTTCCATAGAACATTAAGTGGCAATTACTTACATTTTGTGTTTGGTTTTTTTAAAGCCTGCGTATGTAATAATGACACAAATAAAATTCTCCAATGTAGAAACAGCTGAACACATACCCTGAGCAATTTTTCAATTTTATTAAGCAGCGTAGGTATAAGATGGAATTGCAAATTTCCCAGTTCTGTTGTCCAGGCAGCATAAGCAGGTAAAAATACCTGATGTGTAGCACTAACTACACGTTCTGAAGGGTCTCCTAAAGCTGAAAGCAGTAGTTCAAAACCCTGGCAAAAGACAGCAAAGAATGTAATTACTTTCCTAAAATTTATACCACAGAAAACAGGCAGACTAGAAAAAGATTACAATCTATTTTTTAACTTGACACTAATAAAAGTAAAACAAGGTAGTAGTACATGGGGGCCTATTAACAGATATTCCCAGCACATCTCCAAAGGTCAACAGTAGGTGCTTCAATGATCCTGCTAGTATTTCTCAACAGTGAAGTTATCAGAATCAACAGAAACACATTTTACCACTCTGCCTTAAAAAAATTAGACAGGAGTAGACATTCTTAATTTTTACTTACCTGGAGCATTATTAGGCAGTATTAAGTTGAACTACAAGAAATCTTTGTTGTAGTTGATACATTTCTGTTATCAAGTGATGATATCAATCAGATAGGCTAATTGTATTAGGTGGGCAATGAAGTGGTATGTTCTTGAAGGCAAATTATGAATTCTTAGAGAAGCTTCTGTGTAAGGCTTATACCTGAGGTTCTAGTGATACCTCTAATTTATTTTTTTTTTGGACTTGGTGATAGAAGAAAACCAACATTCACGTAAATCACAAAATATTTACAAGTATCTGGAAAGATTTAATTAAAATGCATGAAATTATGCATCCCCCTATTAATGAAATAATTCTAGAAGGCAGTTTATACACACAGAATCAAACCCACATTTTACCTGTTGATATTTGTCTGGGTCATCAATATATCCCATAATGATTCCAAGGCTTCTGATCACAGCTTCTCGTACCAAATCTGCCTTATCTTCCATTAGCATTTGCTGCAGCATGGAAAGTACTAATGAACTACGAATTTCTTTCTGTTTGTAAATAAGAAACATACTTGTTAAATGTAATGAAACAAGAAACACAGGTTTATATCTATTTTTAGAAACAATTTGCACTTTTGTTAGTGCTCACAAAATCCCTTCCTCCAACCATACATCTCTATAAACATTACACATTCTGTTTTCACTACAGAAGATGAAGGAATAAAAAAATGTCAGTAGCCTCAACAGATCAACCTTTTGTCCTACTAAGCATAGAACTCAAGTTCTTTAATTCATACAAAACCAAAAAGAACAGCAAAAAACCCCTATACAGAATCTTAATTCACTGCATTGCTAAAATGGAGTCGTGGGTTTTTAATTTGGGTTATTTTCCTCTTCCTCTGAACCTTAAAATTCTAGTTTGCCACTGACTTAATTTTGCTTGTTCTTCTGACTGGGAGTGCTCTTCATCTAACATTCCAGAGCCTCACAAACTCTATTACTGAGTGCCAATGCTTTTTGTCAGAGATTATTTCCTTTAATTGGCCCTAACTAGGTTCACTTAATTTTTCCCACATTACCGAAACACAGATTTTTTTCAGAACATATTGTTTTTAAAGACATTTCATAGCTAGATTGACCTGCATTCCTTTATAATAAGCTATATCCTCCTTAATGCAATTTATTGAATCCCACGGGTGTGATAAAAAGTAGAAGACAATGTTACTGTCTAAGCCTGACATACACACTTGGAAAATTTTAAAATATAAAGGATGCTTGCATATGCATCATATTTTCACCTTGCTTTCACTGGAAAATTTTTCAGAGTCACTACGAGTACTTACTGGAAGGTAAGGTGCTAGAGCTCCACAGGATTCTGCTACCAGTAGCCGCCTCTCTGGGTATTTGTGGTTGATCTGGTGAAGAGAAACAGAATGGCTATTTGCCTTGCTATAACCAGTATCCAAAATGTGGTTAGAATGAACTGCAATGGAGGGATATGTCTGCACCTCTTAGATAAACATTGACTTTGCTCATAGAAGTTGCATATGGGCACTAAACAGCCTCAAACTCTTCCACTGAGGCATAAAGGCAAGGCAGATACAGCCTCCTCTAGTTGTCCTATAAAATAGAACTTACATTAAGAGAAGAAACAGAAAAGTATGCATACATGCAGTAAAAAGAAGGATGGTAAGCAGCCTACGGGCTGCTGCACTCTGAAGAATATGACCCGCTTGTGAGCTGGCACTCCATGAAATATTTTGCTTTATGTAACACCTTCAGGAACACGGTTCCTCTAAGAGCTACACAAGTGCCCTCTAGTGCTCTAAGCCAACTAGTGTAGAATAGCTGCCTGAGGCTTGCTGAGCAATCAGGGTCCAAAGAAGACATATGTATTAAGCCAAAAAGTACTTGCATGCTATTGACGTTCTGCTCTCGAGTCCAGCCAATTACCTGGACACCAGTTCTGAGGGAACTTTTAGGATTCACAGAGCTTTGATCGAAACTCAGATGAGCCAACTACTATGAAGAGCAGGCAGAAATATCACAACAACTAGCCTGTTAACTCTCCAGAATGTCTGGATGAAAATGATTAATCTTCTGAGGGCCTAGTCCTTTGCATTCTGTAAATATATTTTGTTTCAAGATCAGCTGTATGAATGCTTTCATGATTAGAGCATCTTCTGAGAAAAGGTAGAAAATTATCTGTATTTTAGAGTTCCTTTTACAAACTCATTTTTCTGACAATGAGATTCAGCCAGTAGTTTGTTGGAGAAAAACAATTACCTGGTTTTGGTACAGCAAACAAAGCTTGGCAAACTGCATTAAATACATACTTGATGACATGTGTCTTGGCAGCCTGATAGGCTGTGCTGTTACAGTTGGACTAGTTTCTCTATTGCATCAGCAATTAGCAAGAAACTAGTATGACAAAGATGTGGTGGTCTTCCTGAGGTTTTTTTTAAATGCTGTTTATATTTCATGAGAAGGACTAAGAAAACAAAATGTGGTTTGTGTTCAACAGCTATTGCTATGAGCCCTTCCTTTAATCAAAAGATACATCAGTCATACATATAAGCACAAATGCTGCATATAATATATACCTGTACTGTAAAAAACCTTGAGACTATTAAAGCTTGGACTTCACTGTGAAACACAGATGGCAGAGTTATGCAAGAAACAGGAGACAATTATTAGACCAGAAAGACTGTGCCATCAAAGCAAGCATTAACCACTCTGTCACAGCTTAGTTATTCACTGTCTTTTAGGGAAGATGAAGTCTATTTTCTTCATAATAGTGGGAAAATGCCATGCATTTTCACCTGAACCCACATAGTTCTGTTTCTATGCCTCAGATGACACAGTAACAGCATTTCAATTTGGTTGTTCAGTTATTTCTAATTATTTGGAATAGCTGTGGAAAAGCTCACAGTGATCTGGAATTTGTATCTAAACTTCAGGCTGATTTTACAGGTGTAAAAATAATGCTCATCCACTTATAAGGGGACTTATTTCTGACTACTTTGACCTTTAATTTTCTGCTTAAGAATTTAAAGTAGCTCACATGTGGACACTGGTCCGGGGAATTAATACAATATAAAAATCAGTGAACAAAATCTTTGACTGAAAATGGATTTTCAACAGCCTGGAAATTACAGTACAAATTATAAAGGTACCTACCTGTCAATAGGTTAGGCAACACTAATGAGGAACATGTGCATATCTACATTTCAATACAACAAACATAGGCAGGTATATGCAGGTAAACTAGAATCTCCAGATAGTCTTTGGCAAATTTCCTGCTTATGAGTTCTTTTTAATGTTATATAAAAGTATATGTAATGAGGACAACAAACATCCATACATCTTTCTGAAAAATACTTTGAACTGCCATTCAGTGAAAAACAAAACCAAAACAACCTCCCCCTCAAACAAATTCAAGTCAACATTTATGCATTTTTAACTAATCTTCCAGAGTAAAACACAAAAATAAGGAGTTACCTGTTCCCAACACTGTGGTAAAAGCTCAGCTTCTACACGTGTTGGTCCAACATGCCGGGCAAATGCCACACACCCAGTCAGTATCATCTGTCTGAAAACATAAATTTAAAGGTTTAATTTGTTTATAAAGTAAGTATCTGTAATGTATAGAATATATACTTTAAGTTAGTAACAACAGATGCTGTCAGGCAACAGGTAGTTGTCTACAATCAAAATTTCACACCACATTGAATTAATAGCTAAATCTTAAACTAAAAGTCACTATTGTCCCTGATTGTTGCATGGGACATGCACTTTTAACTATTTCTCCTATTAATAGGACTGCAATGATACTAAATCAGCATGTAATTCATCAGTTCTATTTACTTTTCATGTCTAAATCAACATTTAAATAACCAGTTTCAAATAATAAAGCATGGACATAAGACTAATTTTATCACCTCCAGAGTAAGATTAGGACACTACTAAGACCTTGCTCATTTTTACTTTGTGGAAAGTAAGCCAGTATATTACTTGTTACCATTTTAGTGTCATGTCTAAACTCCTAAATATTATAAATTCCTGAACTGCAGCTGATTTTATGCCCTTAAGGTTGAAAGGCAGAGATTCTGGCAGTTATTTCTTAAGCACTTATACAATATACTCTATTAAAAAAATCCAACAAAACACACAAAAAACCCAAAGAACCAAACTCATTCACTTTCAGAATCTTTTAGAGGAGAAATAGTCTGTTTAAAAGCTTTTTTTTTTTTTTTTTTCCCACCAGCCTTCTTTAGGCCAACAATCAGAAAAAACTCTTTTCTTTTATACAATGGGTTTTTTCTGTTGGGCTTTTTCCTCCCCCCATCTGTACCATGTACTGAGAAACAGACCTTTGATAAAGGTAAAAAGTTGGGGAAAACTCAAAATGCAATTATTAGATAAGACTCAAGAAATCAACCGCTGATATGCGATAGTAATAAGGAGACAAAAGCCCAGCGTAATTCTGAGTTCTACAACAAAGAAAATAGTTCATTTCAGTGCCTGTCTTTGGCTTTACATGCTGCACCTAATCACAGAACTGGGCAATAGAACATACTTCTGTAAGATATTTTAAAAAGTGAATCACTCAAAATCTCTTGCATTAGAAATAGGGGAAAAAACCAAAAAAACAAACCCTCTTAAAAAAATAGCACAAAGTTTCAAAATTACCTCTGATTTCCTTTTGCCTTGCCTGGCAAATATATTTGAAAATATTATGAAACTATTAAAAAATGTCTTAAGTATTTTGCTGTAACCATCTTAAAAATACATGACAAGAGCAGGTATTTCAGGGGAAGGAAAGGTTGTAAGGTTGACCTTAACAACAGGTCACTGAAACAAAAATGTCAACACAAAGATATTGCAAAAATTGCAGTCTAGGTTGGGTATGGGAAAAACTACTTTCTACTTATTGTCATAATTATCTATTTTGTCAACAAGATGCTGGAAATGCTTTCCTCAAGAGCTCTTTCCAGGTTAAGCACTTATGATCACTTAGGTAGGAACACAAGCACATCACTATGACTCAGCAGAACACTAGTCTGCTTCATCAGTACAGAAACCAAAGTGAAATCAGAATCAGACCAAAGGAACAAGACAGAAGCTAAGAGTAGAACAGACATAACTTAGCACTTCTAAGCTCTTTTAGATGTTTTAGAAAGTGATAATATGCACTGGTAAACAGTTCAATTTTATATTTTGTTCTTTTGTCATTTACAAGGGTTATATTAAAAACAAACCTACTGGAGTTTTCCTTAATATGTCAGGAAGTTGTGTGTTCTGTAAGTGGTGGTATCATATGACGGATGGCAAGTCATACCAGATACACTAAGCTTAATGTATTTTAGCTTCTTTTCATTGAGTGTGCTGCTTCTGGGTACATTACTGTGGTATCTTCCAGAGTTCACATTCTGAACTAGGTTTTAACCTTGTCCTAAAAGGCATTCATGTGACTTCTTCATGCCTTCTTAGCTTCTAAAACCAACTGAGGTCTTCAAATGGAAGTTTAAGTAAAGCTAACACATATTTGTTCCTTTACAGAAGGGAATTTGATAGACACCTTGAAAATTGAATAGTAAATTAATTAGCAAAGCCTTGAGGATAAAAGTGGCCTCGTTAAACATAATGTTAGCATACAATACTATATGGTGTATCTGCGTGCACCAAAAAGCCTCTCGCATGGGCAAGAAGAATAATACAAGCTTTCCACATAATTATTAACATACTTACATACAAGGTCAAATATTTAAAGTAAAATGCTGATTTTAATGTGTTTATTATTGGAAATGCAATGTCATGTTTCAGTCTCTTGCATTTAGCAAATGTAAAAAGTCAACTTGTTATCAATTGCTACTTTAATGTGTAATGTTGGCCTGGAGAGTACAGCAGAAGGTAAATAAATAACATGTGAGAATCCATACTGTTTTTATGGTGACTAAACCTGAATATTTTTACTTACTTTATATAAATAAAGACTACTAAAATAGTATTTAAACTTGTTTAGATAAAACAAAAAATCTATCATACACTTCCATACATATACGTAGCTACAACCCAACTGAAATTCTAAATAAGTATTTTCTATCACGTTTGTATAAAGGATCTTTTTATTTGATGGAATTCTACTTATCCTTCTGTCAGGTACTATGGCACCTTTAAAACACATTATGATCTTTGTGTGTGTAAATGTGTATTATGAATATACATGTTTTTCCCTAGAGGTTAAGGCAGAATATTCTCCCCAAATTTCTAATGAACAGGAGTTACTTTTAGATACAAATCTCTAACTTACAACAAGGAATTAACAACTTTTATGAAAAAGCAGCTTGTATTTTCTTCTTTCTTAGCTGCTGGAAAACACAACTACCTTAAGCTAAACATGTGTAAGAAAAATCTACTTACTAGGCCACCAATCCTGTGAGAAATTAACTTAGAAGAGACTAAAAAATGAGATGTAACTTCCTGCCCCCCTTAAACACAAAATAATTTTAGTTTCCAATCTGCATGGGACATTCAAAGTATTTTAGATAGTGATAGACATTTCATAAGTAGTTTTCTAATGAATCCCAAGTAGAACAAGGACTGCATCTTTTTGTAATTTCAATCTGTGTGGTGTCACTATGCTACAAGTTGCTTTTATTTCTGTATTTTTTTGTCTCCAAAGCCATCTATTCTAAACATACTTAATCACTAAATTTTACCAAGTGAGAAATTGAGAAAGTCACCAGAGCACTTCAGTTTCAGAAAATCTTAAAAAGAAATGCTTTCCACCTATTCCAAAAAGTCTATTTTGTCTGAAGAGCAACAAAAGATACAGATGTTTTACAAAACATCTCTAATGAAAATAAAGAGCTACAGAGCAAATATGAAAAAATCTTTTCACAGTTAGAGAAGGAAACATACCAGCTAGTGTACTGTCTTTCAACCTTAAGGATATTCTTATCAAAATTGGTAAAGTCAGATTTCCTGAGAACTCAGGAATAACTAAATTTTAAAACAAAATAAAAAATACACTGTTTCAACACCAAAAAAACCCAAAGCTCAACACCTGTCATAATTAAATAACTGATGCACTCTTCTGAATTTTTATTACTACCTATAGTACTGAATCATAAGTAGGAAGAGTACTATTTCCTTATGCTATTTTTCCCATCTAAACCTTGTAGTTAACTTACAAACATACAGATCACTAAGACAGACTAAGAGGTTTAAAAAAGCTGCTTTGATTTCTGTATTAACCATAGCTAAGAATTATGATCTAATAACTCATTTTAATGAAGTGTTTTAGCTCATCTTTAAACAAAAATGGAACTGAAACATTAACACTGCAGCTTCTCAAGAATGCTCTTATATTTCAGTAACTTAGAAAGTACAGATCATGAAATGGAAAGTCCCAAAATCCACATAAGTTTGTCAACACTATAACAGCAAAGTATCAGTTTAAGTGAAACTCGGTTAAAATCATCCCATAATATCCAGTTTCTATTATTTCTGCTTCTTTGACAAAGGAAAAATGTTCTTTCTTGTCCCGCAACACATAAACGCAAACACACCTTTGCTCATCATCTGGTCGTTTGATCAAATTGAACAGTATGTGTAGAAGCTGATCTCTCTCTTTGGGTTCAGGATGGAGGCAGGCTGTACACAGTATGAGTGGGATCAATTCCTAAAAAGTTGTGGGTAGGGGAAAACCAAAGACAGTAAAAATGCTTTGGGCATATATTCATTAATGGCAAAAGAAACTAAGAAGATAAATCTAGCCACGTAACATCAACATATTTAGAGAAGATGTTTTAGAGTCTTGATTTCTTATTAAGTGACCTGAAAAAAGTGAAGGTCTACAGAAGTTAGAATTATTTTCCTGCTACGAAAGATCAGGGAGAACCAGCACATAAAATTAAAAGTTCTGCAGATTACAATTAACATATGCAGGTCACCTGTAACCAGAGTTAGAGGACAATCATGTCTTCACTACCTACTGAACTGAAGCAAGCTCCACAGATGTCTATGGAACAAAGCTTGTACAGAAGAAGCAACTTTTGATGCCATGGAGTTAAATATTAAAATTTTGTATTAAGCATGCACAGAGTTTTGTGCATAAGTTTGAACAAGCACCGGAAAACATACATTGTTAAAGGTGACTGCAGACAAGATATACTCACTCTATTTTGTGTTTAAGGTTGTTGGGTTTGTTTTTTATTTTCAAGAAAGAGTCAACATCTGAAGCTGAATTTTCTTTTTTTAGAGCAATTCAATTCCCTTAAGGAGCAAAATACCATGAAAACAATACATAAAACATTAACTAAAATAAAATATAAGGCTGTTCACAATACTGAAGAGCTCCTCCTTCCCAAACAGGTTTTCAAAGCTCATGGTATTCATTCCCAGAAGAAACAAATGTTTCTAAAATATGGACTGGAAGTCCCTTTCCTTGACCTTGTTGATGTGAGCCATTGCTCCAACCGAATAAAAAAGCCACACAATTAGGTGATTTAATATCTTAGGGACAAAAACATGCCGGTGAGGTTGGGAAGGAAAGAACAAGACAAATCTAAGTGTCCGCAGAGAAAACTTGGACAAATTATCTGGAAGCACCCTCCACATACTTTTGAGCCACCTCAAGCAGACAAGGTTTTTGTGAATTAGTAAGCTGTGACTAAGAAGCAGATGACAGTGGGAAAGAATTCTGAAGTTACTTGGAAAGATTACACAAAACCTGGAAAAATCTACAGCTGTTTGTAAAAACTTTATGGGGAGGTACAAATTTCTTCTTGCAGACATTCAAGGTGACTGATTCACACTGGTCTTTAGAGTAAGCCTATCAAACAAGGTGGACATGAGAAAACAATATCAAAGACACCCTTATTGCTCAACCTGTATTTTCCTCAACAGCAAGTGGTACGTGTCTGTTAAACATGGAAGAATACTCCATTTTAGAGCATTGCCTATGCTCATCAACTCCTGATAAGCTTTTGTTTTCAGTTTACACTAATTCTACTCAGTGTGCTATTTTTCCCCCTGAAGATGATCAAGACACATCCTAAAATCTGCTTTAACATTCTGGAAGATATTTTGGCAATATTTAACCCAATTATGGTACAGATCAGGGAATTTATGAGACAGAGGCATGAATGTGGAAGTATCCTACACAACACTTAAAAAAAACCTTAAAGTACAGAAGGAGAAATAAGAAATATATTTGAGCAATTTATATATTTCTATTTTGCAGTATTTTCAAGTAAGCAAGTTTTTTGGTTTCTGGCGTTTTTTTTGTTTGGCTCTTTTTAAATAAGTGTAGCACAACAGAAAATGTAAATTGAAAGCCTGTACTAAAGAAGCTTCAGAAATTACATCTCACAAACAGCTAAATAACTTTCTTAAGCTGAAAGCTTCTTTTCCTTTAGAATTTGCATGTTAGATTTTATTTTTTTGTATACTTCACATTTCATTTTTGCTCATTTGAAGTTCTGAGAAGGCAGGGGGCTTAACTTATTTAACTTTTTTTTGTTACTTCAGATAAACATTTTCTCTCCTACAAACACTTAATTCAAAAAGATTTGAAAAAATACTATAAAAATAATGAAAAAACCCTCTGCCACTCTAAATACCACTATGTACACATTAATATCTTAATCTTTCAAAGAGGAAATAAGTTCGCAATTTGTAGATGCACAACATAATTACTAACTTCACCATAAAGAATATAGCTCATGGACAAAGCTTTATATAAAAAAATCCCCTGTGTTACATTACTGAGCTCTAACTTTCTGAAATTACCCTAAGTTCACATTATCCAACTGTTCTTTCAATTATTCTTTATTATTCCTTATAAAGAATGTCTAAAATAAGAGTATAACCCACAAAATGAGACATGCATATTTTTTTATGATCTGGGGTTTTGTTTCCTCTGTTGAAACCACAACACTGACTTTACTTTCCTGCTAAGTCAGAGTACCTACTCAAAAATCTCAACTGCTAATTCAGGACTACTGCCAGATTTCAAAACAGTGCCATGAGTTTTTTGGTTTTTTTTTTTAAATCAAGATTATTTTCAAATTTAAGGAAGCTAGCAAAGTTGGCTTTTTTCAACTGAGTCTGCATGAAAGGAAAACACCTCCAAATTTATCTAGATACTACCTTGTGTGTGAAAGGCTCATGAGTAACCTAACATCATTGACACGGGGCAGATACAAGGCTGGTTCTTTACCTTGCAGAAAGCTGGTTATTATAGCTGACGGAATTAGCTGTGTTTTCTTGTCCATTGGTCACATTCTCTCATGCATACTATGGGAGAAGAGAGTGTTCTCTGCATCGCTGCATCAGTGCTTCTACAGCTCCTTCTATTAAGGGGAGTGGAGAAACAGTGAGAAGTCTCGAACAGTGTTTTATGTGCTCCCTATAGACTTAATGGACAGGAAGGTAAAACTGGAGGCGAAAGGGACTTTTGGTGGGACAAGAATAAAACTGCTCTCATAGGTGGACAAATCACGTCAATTGAAGTCTCCCAAGGAGTTAAAAGGGGATAGGTTCTTCTCAAGAATTTGGGATGATTAAGAACAAAAAACAACCTACAGGCAGGTTCAAGCCCATTCCTTCCTGTTGCAAAGGACCATGGTCTAGATGTAGACTTCTTTTAATAAAATTCAGATTAAAAAAAACCCCAAAACAACAGCAGAGAAGGGCTGTAGAAAGTAATTTTCCAATAGGAGAGATTAATATTAGCATTTGACTATTTAAATTCAAGAGGAAAGTTCACAACATTATGGAGATTGTATATAGTTGTTAATAATAAAGGAGAGGACTTCCAGTGCTATTTGAAACACTCTGCCTTCCTTGGGAAGGAATACCACTTATGCTGACAGTTAATAACATAAATTAAAAAAACAAAACAAAACAACAACCCTCCCTCTACTTAATTTGGGATCCTTCCTAAATGTCCTGTTCATTCCCAAGTCCCTCTTTTCCCTTTTGCCTCTGACTTAGGAAAACTGATTAGTTCATGTTGGTGTTAGTCAACAATACCAGGAGTGACTTTCAGAACGGCGATACTGTTTCCCAAGGAAACCACCATTACAACATGGACAGCACTTGCAGCTGGATGCAAGAACATGTGCCAGAGGTTTCACTTCCACTACTGAAAAGGCAAGTTTGTATCTGATGCAGTTGATATCTGTGAACTACCCAGATGTACAATAGAGAGAAAAAAAGTAATTTGCTGTTATGGTGAGATAAGCTGCATAGAGGTGAACAACGCACAAGGCTATGAAGCTGACCTAACCTTGCACAGAAGTGAAATGGCCTGTCTTGTCTCTGTTCTGTGTAACTGTCCATGTAGGTCTCTCCTAAGAAAAATTCACTTTTTTTTTCATCATAGCACCTTTGGACAACTTCTCCTTAAGTTATAACAACATGTTCTTTTATCTTTGAACAGATTCAATATTTGAGCTGATTCAAGTTCTCAAGAAAGGCAACATTTACATGGGCATATGGATCAGCCCTTCATTATGATCAAAGAAGGTGGCTTTTTAATGGTAACTGGTATCACCTCAACTGTATGCAACAGTTCTTCCTACATATTAGAAGTATTAAACCAAAATATTAAAGATTGGGTTTTTTAAAAATGCATCCTATAGCAAGCATTTGTCTGTTTTGCTGGCAATTTTCTTAGAAGATAGTGAGGAATTTACTATCTGTGTTGTCGCCTTCATTATAACTTTTTTTTTGTTCAGCATTGTAACTAAAGTCTCTTACATCTTAGTTTCTCTCTCTAATTAGTGTCTTTTTGTTGGAGTGCTCATAAGCAAAATAATTATCTCAAAGATTAAATTTAATTAGTGCTAAGTGTCAAGATTGGTTACTTCAAGAGCTTAGGACAGTAATCTTTATTATTCCAAATATTAATGTAACAATATGGCAAACAGGTGACATCATATACCAACCAGGATGATATTATGATTTATTTTGTAAATGCGTCCCTTTTAACCTTCTCTAATAGTCAATGCTTGCATTGTGAATCCATGTTATGTTAAATGTTTTCTGTAACTTAGTATCTAAGAACAAGTAAGTACAATAATCTTATTTGCAGCAAACGAAACAGCTGCAGGTACTAACAAACTACTGATATGGAGTCTTCTGTGCAAGGATGTATTGGAAGTTATTTCAGAATTCATCTTTTTAGTTTCAAATGAAATAATATTCAATCATAGGATTAATACATGACTCAAAACTTTCTGCTACTCGGCTTATTAAAATTACAAACCTAATCACATTTTATGGGATGAGACTATTATTCCAAGATCCAGATTAACCTTCTTGTCAATCTCAAAGGGTTGCTTTTACATTAGAATCAATACAGATCAGGGTGTGAAAAAGCCTCTGTACTTCTTTGTATATATCCACTGTTTATTTGGAAATCTTCGTATAAAACTACTCTGACAAAACTAGTTGGCAATTCAATTAAAAACATGAAATTTAACTCCTTCCATCCATGAATTACCTTATGGGTAAAGACATGGTGTTGAAAGACATTAGCTTTCAGACTCAAGATGAAAGGGATATTGCATGAGAATGAGCTCTTTCATTCTAAGAAAATTACACTAGCCTCTCATACCCAGAAAATGGAACTAAAGGACTTAAGTTAAAAAACAGCTGTCTCTCTTACAGCCATGTGTGGGAACCCAGCCTCAAACAAAAAAGCTTCCCAAAAAACACCAACACCCCACATAAACAAGAAAAGATCAGGCAAACAAGCTGAGGTCAACAGTATCAGTTTTTCAGAAAAACAATCTACTGGAGCCAACTGCAATGTAAGTTTTACCGAGTAACCAAGTATTTTAATAGCGCCTTTAAAATTTTCCGTTCTCCCCTAGTCTGTGAAATAGAAACAGTCATTAAGAAGATACTGATGGCTGACAATTTTCAAGCCTAGGAAACTTATATACTTTTATCTATATCCAACCAGAATGACATCTGCTTGACACAGCTACTGGAAACAGCCACTTAAATACACTACCAAGCTCTGACATAGCAGTCTTCTGTATTTTTTAACAAAGCCAATATTTTATGACTTTTAAAATGCAAGATAAAGATGAAAATCTGTAGTAAGATATCCAGTTCTACTGTGGTTTAAGAGACATCTACCTACAAAAAATGCCAGAGACTGAAAGTGCCTTGGTGATGTCTATGTGTAGATATGACGTGCTCATGGAAACAAGTTCAAACCTACAGCATTGCTTTCTTCTAGCAGAGCTGAGAATGCCACCCATTCAGAAACTGCAAATTCAGCATTATCTTTCCTTCAACTTTACAAATAAATATAAGCAAATGTCTGTTATTAAAATATTGAACTCTATAAATAAAGATAAAAAGCATAAAAATTAAGTGGCGCACTCGTAATAAACCATCACTGTCATGGTAAGTCTGGGCAACACAAATGAAAGATAGATAAACTAACCCTGGAATAATAGGCAAGAGGAAAAGTATAAGTAATTAAGGAAGTGTTTCTTGGGGGGTGGAGGGGAAAGGGTAACCAGATCCTGATATGACATGAAAAAGTATACTCTAGCCCAGACTCCACTAACAGACTTCAAACTGCAGCATGTAGAAGTTGTACATACAAACAAGATTATTCCTGTTACCTGGCAAGAAGATATTGATTTTCACATCGTATAAAGGGTGAGAAATCATTACTGAATTGATTTGTTGTTGCAAAAATCACAAAATTTTGCTTTTCTTTAATTACAGTTTAACTAAAGGAAACTTTTTATGGTATACTTCTTGACAAATCAAAGATAGCTGATTTAATAAAAAAAATCTTAAGTGTGTTTTAGTTACAAGTGACTAACACACATTTGAGGAAGCAGATTCCAATGCAGATGAAACTTTAAGAACTCAAGCTGTTCATATGCAAGAAGTGTTATCATAGACTGGATACCCAGCCAAAGGGTTTGGTTTTTTTTTAAGAAGTTTTTAGCATTTTGTTACTTTTCATCCCAATTACTATGTAGCTTGCAGTATCTCCTTTGTTTTTGAGTGCATTCACACACAAATCTAACACTGGCATACATCTTCTCAAGCATTTAGGATAAACCAGATACTAGAGACAAAACCAAAATTAAATATATATGTTGATACATGGAATTTTAATGATGAATCCTCTATTACGTATTACTGATTTTATCTGGTTGAACTGTTCTTTTAGAAACAATTAAAATAACCTCCCCAGCCACCCTACATGATACTGTGTTTTTCCCTCTTTCCTGTCTTCCATTATAACCTAAACTACAGTCACTGAAGAACAATTAAAGCTGCACCAATACACAAAAATAGCATTAAAACATTCCAGAAATGTGTCAGACATTCTGACACTAACTGGTTGCTAAGATGTCAACTGTAATATTTGCTGGACCACTTATTACCAAGTCAGGCAGACTGCTAAAGACCTTAAGAGGGTTAAAAGCATTGGTGGAATGGCTTAATCTCTGGCAACGGACAATTCCTACTGAGAGATTGTCAACCCACAAACCCTGTTTCTCCAAAATGAAAACGTGTAACACATTTTCAGTTTCAGATTTTGCAACCAGTTTCAACACGATGGAGGCTTAAAGAACAAAGACAGGTACTTCAGGGAGTCATCACAAAATTATGTTTAATTTTCATGACTAACACACTGACAGTGTGAGATCTTAAATACTGACAGTGTAAGGTCTTAAATCACTGTACCTTTTCAGAGCAAACTGGTGATCACTTTGTATTACGACCTGAGCCTGTTACTTATATTTCACTACATTTTTACATCACTTCTCTGTAAAATGGTGCCATGACTCTCTCATGACAAGGTTGTTTTTGGGCAAGACACAAGGCTGTAACTTGTTGAAGAGAGACCAGTACATAGGTAAGCTTTTTGTTACACTGATATTAATAAACACTAACAGAAGATCTGCACAAGTTTTTCTTCTATTTCCACAACACCACCTGAAGGAACATTAAAATAGTGACAGCAATGGGTGAAAAGCTATTTTAAAAGGAAATTTCAAAACTTGGAACTTTAAGCATCCCTTGCAATCCAGCTACATAATTCTAACTTGTGGCTTTACACAGCCAATTGAAACAGACGATTCATTTAAAGCAAAAACATGTAATCAAATATCACTTCAATTGTAAAACAAAGTAGAAAATAGCCTAAAAGGCGACAAAAATGTTAAATACATTACACAGATTATGCTACAAGCTGTGAAAAGAAGCCAAAATACCACATCTTGCCAAAAGCAGAGGGAAGGAAAGGAATAAATAAGAAATCAGAAATTAGGCACTGATCCAGAAACATTCACAGAAGTATTCTGAAAGAATATCAACAGATTTATTTCCAGAGCACCTAGTAAACACCCTTACTCCCTTAGAAAAAAAACAACACAACAACCCAAACAAACTTTTAATCAAGTTTGAGACTTTCAAAACTTTATACTTTCTCAAACTCACTGTGTTAACTGCTGGTAATTACTCATATGTTACAACATTTGAGGTTATAGGATCAGTACAAATTTCTTAAGGATTTTTCAAAGCTTTAGAATAATTTATGCACAATGCACTACTAAGTCCACATTACTGTAGGTCCCCTCAACAAGGACTAAAACTTAACAAGCTATGCTACTTCAAACCCTTTATTTAGGTGTCAACTGTAAGGTTGTTGAAATTTTGTTTTATGTATGTCCTTATGTTTTTACACATGTGGTAATGTGCAGTATTTACAACAATACATTTTCATTTTCAAGCACTGTCCTCTCTTTTTTACACTATATAATATGAAGGATTATGCAAAACACCATCTTCACTTAAATTAAAAACTAACATTACATTTTCATAATTGTATTTAGCTTAATTATAAATTTAAGGTAAACATATAAGCAAGATGGCTAATTTTAAAACAAAGGGGTATTTTAGATTACTCTTATCTTGGCTGATACAAGGAGCTTTTACAAAAAGACAGTAAAATATATTTTTTCTGAAGTATGTAGTGCTGAAAAATAACCTGAACATTAGTCCGTATTAAAACTGATAAAATAAACCAAATTTAATGTCTGAACATATGTCCTCTGCTCTTTGTAACATGCATTAACTGTGGTCTCCTCTAACAAAAACATTTTTGCTAACACAAACAGCTAGACCTACAGTAACAGTCTTACTGAATGCTAACAGATGCCTTAAGCAAAGGAAGAAATATTAGGATACCATGCAGGTTTACTGAACTTACCTGACAGAGGTGTAAAACCATTTTCTAGGAGCAGAGATGCATGCACAAAAGTAAGAACATGATTGCAAGTAACAGACTTTCATTAAAGTAGACACATCAAAATGAACAAGAAAGCACCCTGGCAACAATAAAAGAGTAAAATTGCAGGGTTCCTCACCTCTCTCTTCGCAAGCAGAACATTAGGAACAATATGAGGCAGGCAGCGTCCCAACATTAACATGACACTTTTTTCACTATCTGCAATCCGAGACACCTAGAAAATCAAGTTGTTTGTTTGTTTTTTTTGTTTTCTTTTTTTAAAATGAAGCACAAGAAAACAGTAAAAATTGCAGTGGGCTGATCACTTACCGGAAAATACTTAATTTGCTCACACACATTAATTTGCAAGTTTTTGATCTGGCAGTAACTTCAAAAGCATTAATCCACTTGTAGAGACTCAGAACTTCCCAGTAATTACATATCTATCACTAGGTTTCATTTCTCAGCCAAAATCTCAAAGCATACCCCTATTTCTTAAATTTCAGGTACGTAAATTTATCTCTCCATATAGGTTAATATATCTTGCTTGGAAGCCAGTTATTGTTTAACTATTGCTGCCATTCAGAATAAAGGATCTTCTAGTTTATGTCAACTGGGATATATACCTCTGATCCCAAACGGCTGTCTGCTGACATCCGACAGAAAGACAGTAGTGCTTGATGGAAAGCTGGTGACAATTTCCTGAAATATTGTCAAAAAGGGAGGGGGGGAAAAAAGCACAGATCAGAAAGATGAATAAACAAGTCCTTTCATTCTGGTTTAACCAGCTAAATAAAATAACACTCAGAAATCACGTTTAAATGAAACATACTGCAAAAGTTTTTGTTTAAAATTATCTTTAAGGGTGTTCACATTATAACAAGAAAAAAAAAGTATCCCCTAATTAAAAACTTACTTCAGTTCTGAAAAATTTAACTTCTTTCCAACTGCTTCAGAGACAAAAATAGGACTAAAGCATGAAGCAAAGGAAGCTTGAGTAATACAAAAGGAAGTATACAATTTTGCAAACTGGAAGGGAGAGGCAGAAAACAAGCAAGTATTTTTGCTCAATGCTCTGATTCTGCACATTGCATAAAAGCATTCGAGTAGTTAGTTACTTACAAGCTTTAGGATTAAACAGAGATTGTTCAGCTGCCATTTTGGAATCTAAACATTGGATTAAAATTAATAGCAAGAACCTCAAAACTAATCTTAAATTGCTGCCTAATCCCTTCTTTAGATGTGTATCCATAGAAGTCCTGCCTCACGGCCATGCACAGTGCCAGCCAACAGAGCCAAGACACTCAAAGCCTTAAGTAAAAAGATAAAACCCTGATAAGAGCCTCAAAACAAGGAGGGTAATTTGGCAGAAACATTCTCAGAAAACAATCACTGGACTGACCATTACCTAAAACAGACATGTAGCAACAGCATCCAGTAATGACAACACTCTCTGCCTCATCTTAGGCATTTGGATGCTCATCTAACACTGTCTCATCCATTTTTCTTCTAGAAGATGCCCAGAATGCAGCTCACCTTATATAATCATTTATTGTTTAAATCTTCTAATGTTACTTTATGAGTTTAAGGGAGAAGTCAATTTCTGTTTCTTAAGTGGAAAATGGTACCACCTTTCAACTCTTAAAAATGCTATTTTGTGCACCTTATCACACAAAAACCTACACACATACAATTATGTGTGTGGTCCTACATATTTTTATCTAACAGATGGAACCATCACACTATAGGAAATACATCACCATTCACCATTCTCTAACAAAAAAAAAGCATATGTAAGATCAAAGCTCCTACTTGTAATTGTTTAAACTGATTTAGGAGTGTAGAGATAAACACACCAGAGTATGTTTCCTCTTCTGCCTATTTACAAAATATGATAAATAGGAATTTGTTTATTCCTTAAAATCAACTTACTTTCTTGACAGTAAACTTACTTTCTTGTTAAAACACATTTTACATTTTACTGAAGTAAGCTCAGTTTAGTTTCTACTAGCTTGGTTTCGTGCAAGGGTTCACTTTAAAAAGTTACTCAACAACTAAGGCGGTAGTGAGTTGTAAGGGACCTCTGACTAACAACATGTTTGTTCTTATTCTGTAGAAGTATTTATAAATTACAGAACTACAAGCTCTACTTCAGGCTTTAAGGTTTACTTACACTGGGAGAGCAAAAGCAACTGTTGCAAAGCAGCAGCTTAAAGCTAAAAGAGTGGCAAAACTTGGTCAGCTCTTTGCCTGGACTGTCCCTCACCTCAGTGTTTGTTCCACAGAATTTCAGATCCTTCCCCACTAGAAACCTTAATTCTAATCCTACCTAAGGGTAGGATTAATTAACCTGTGAGTTAATTAAAAGCAAGCTTTTGGTAACATGGATCTCATTACAATTGCTGGCTATATTTAGTCAAGAAAGGTTCTCCTTGATGAAATCTAGGAAAATCCTCATGGCTATGCTGGACAGAAATTATGACAAACCCAGACCTCTTGCACACAAGCCAGTTGGAAATATTTTCAAAGACAAACAGAGGCCAGCAGTGAAGATGTTTAAGAAAGTATGATTAGTACAAAAACTACTATTCTACTCCAAAGAACACTGAGACAAAAACAGTCAATTTACTAAAAAAGTCAGCAGTGACAGCAAGATATAAAGAACACTTTGTATTTGGTGCAAACTACCAAACACCTAAAATGAGTTGAATAAACACATGTGGTGCAGACTATTTAAACTGCTGCCACTGCTTTCTACTGCAATCTGTTAGACAAGGCATTCTTCCAATGACAGCCACATCCTCATTTGCAGGTAGGCAAGCACAGCTGCTCTGAGTGCAGCCACACAAAGCAGCCTCGCTTGCTCTTCTATCCTCTCTTCCAATCTGGGCAAGATTTGTGCCAACAATCCACTCCCTAGCTACAGTAGCAACAATCTTGCTTTTTTTAAGCAGTATGCTAGTTTTAAAACCTCTTAATACATTCTGAAACAATGGTAGTAATTGCCTTCTACAATATCCACCCCTGGACTGATACAAACATCCAGAACTTCTATAATGCTTCTCCTACTGATCTCAAAATACTTAATAAAGGATCTAATTCTTAATGAAAAAAAAAAAAAAAAAAGACTATATTATTACAAACCAAGTGCATAATACAGGAAGAACATTTACTGATACAGATCTATAAAACACTGTATCAAATATGGTTTCCTTTGACCCTTCATTGACATGTTAAGACAAAGCTCAGTACAAAAATAGCTACATTTTACATATGCATGACTTATTTCTGCAGGGAACAGCATTTGAGGGGACTTCTGAAGTTAACTCAATGGGGACTCAAGGATTTATTCAACTACTTCTCAAATGAACCCACACATAGTTATATCAAAAGACCTGTGAGCAATAAACCAGATGGTTTTTTTTCTAGAGACTACTCTCATAAATTCCACTGCGGACATAAAAAAATAAACCCAAAGTTTAAATAGAGCCAGTGCAAATTTTCCAGAAAAATCAAAGCAGTTTTACTTTCCTTTTCAACACTAGTTTATTTATTGGGAAGAGATTTGTAGTAAGACTCTGAGGTACTGCATTCAGAAATGAGAAATCTTTACTCCTGTTCCATTTGAAAGTTAAGACACCACCAAAAAAGTGCCCCTGCCCCTAGAACTCCATGTAAGTAGTTAATGAAACCCAGGGAAAATGGCACAGTTAGTGTTTGCAAGAAAAGTTAAATACTAGCAGGGGCAGTAACTTCTTTCCCATCTCTCCCTCTTCTCTCCCTATCCCCCTCCCCCCAGCAAAATCCCCCCCTGTATTTCTAGTAAAGATAATACCATAAGATGAGCTACTTGGGCATCTCTGTCCACAATGGTCATTGCAGAAGTTGTACATACTCTCATTAAGTTTGTGGTCTGCGTTACTCCTGATAGCTACATAGTGGTTTATCTGTTACCTAGTGAACAAGCTACTTCTCTTCACTTTAATGTTTCAAAAGACTGTGTAGATTCAAGAGGCTTTCTCAAGAACACTCAGAGACACTAACTCAGTCACTGTGTAACAATGTAACATGAATACTCCATTTGAATTAAAAGAATCATAGTTACCTTGTGTTCACGTGCCCCAAATTTGAAACAAAAAGCAGAATGCCATTGGATACTCTGATTATTAAAAAAATGTATATTCAGACAGCTCTCTCAGATACTCTTAAAAGAACTATACGCATCTACATATGTAAAGTAAAATATTACCCAATCACTATTCAAGCAGAACAAAAGGTACTGCATTATGAAATTTAAAGTATGAAATTTAAACCAGAATGGAAATACCCTGTCTTCCCATTCACCACTTTGATTTTAGTTTTGTTTTTTTGGTTTTGCTTTTTTTGTTGTTGTTGCAAGGAACATGACTGGTTTTAGAAACAAATAGGTATAAAGAAACCCTTAAACGTAACAGTAAAATGTACGTTTGCCAAATGTAGTCCTCCCTAAAATGATGAAGAACATTATAAAAATATCAGCACTGTATCCCAAAGGTATGCTTCATTTGCATTGAAAACAAAAATTCTGCAAATTTTTACTACTAGAAAGACACCTATTCACTTTACAAGAATTTTTAATTCCAGCGTTCCCATTTAGAACTTATCACTAACCTATTAGGTTTATCAAAGTGGACCGTAGATTTAGTTAATGGGGCACAAGAGGACAGTTTCTCTTTTTCTTTACAGGGCACAGAATTTAGCGTATCATCTTTAGAAGTCCTTGAATCCACATCAGCTGATAAAGACAGGCTTGTCTCCTCAGTGTTTCCATGTTTGTCATTCTCAGAGCTCTTCATATCCAAGTACCGTCCATTGTCCTCTGAGACTGTGAGAGGCACTTGTTTTAAAGAAGGGTGGGGAGCTACACCATAAACTGTTGACACAGCAAAGTTTTCATTCTTGAGCAAATCTATTTCACTAAAAAAGGAAAAGCAAAGAGTGAAATATTTTTGTAGCTTTCATGAGAATGTTGTTAGAATCACAAGACTGAAGCACAGAAATACAGATAACATACTGAGGAGCTCACTCTTCAACTCCAGAATGTTAGAAAATTCCTTTACTAGAAATAACATATCACACAAGATGTTCAAATGAGCACTGGCTTAATGGAATTCTTTAGTCAATTCGGAGTGAGTGAACCAATGAAGTAAGTGAACAACAATAGTGTTATCTGCTTCTGGATGAAATCTGAGCACTGAGACACAAATTCTCAAGAGACATAACTCAGACGTAAAACTATAGCTGTGAATTAATAAATACGATCGCACATTGCTTTGAAATGGTAATTTTGCAAGCCAATAAAGCCACTTAAAAAATATGCATGTCCTCCTAACTCGTGCTGGTACATCTCTTAAAAATAATGGTATCTTACAGGTTACAGAATCACATTTTGAACAAGCTTTTAAAGCTTGTTAAAGGTACCACACCTTCTACTAGACTTGCTCCACAGAAAGAAAAACTGTGTTAAAATAATTAAAACAAACATCTTTCTAACAGTTTTTGCAAGCTGTACACACCATAGTACTAAGGAGTGACATAAACCTGACTGAAACCTACACGAAACACCTTAGAAATTATTGTTTTCAAAGAAGTAAATAAAGAAGGTGTATTGAGCAAACAAAACTGAGTACAAAATTAAATTATGCAGCTAGTAAAAGGGAAATGGTGATTTTGAAGTCTCTTCCTTTTTGTACATCAAATACCACATAACAAAAAGGAAAGACTGCCCTGCTCTAAAGAACTCCAGTCATTTTGTGTGAGCTGTTTTTGTGTGCATGCTAGAAAAACATTGAGAAATTATTCAAACATTTATCAGCAGTCAAGCAGATTGATAAGTACATACCTCTCAAGTCTTTGGATTTGTTCCATCAAAGACCATTTCTCATTGTTTAACACACTAATTTGATCTTCTAATTTTTGCACTATTAAACATTGCTAAATACAAGATAAAAGTAAGAGTTTAGTACAATCCAGTTAAATAGTACTGCAAACAGCTGAAACATTTCTTCAGTACAATCTCTTACTTCTATTGACTGTGGTGTTGTTTCAAACACAGGAACGGTCCCAAGTACAGGAGTGGCAGCCTCCAACTCATCATCTTCTACACCAACTGATACATCCACCACATCTCTTGCAGTAACATGGTGGTTTCCAAAGTCACGATAGAGTTGTAACAGGTCAGGAGGTTTTGGAATGTTCAATCCTACATCATCCCAGAGTTCAAAATCCTTCAAAGCAATAACAGAAACTAAAGAATACAATAGACTTCCTTTTATTTTTTGTTTCTTTTCCTCATTTGACTGCACATCAAATATAATCACATGAAGACTGCACTTTAGTAAAGGAGATGAAAGCTTACATCAGTCAGCAAAAAACTGAAGTAGAAAAAGGATCCATTTCATCACTCAAAGCATTTTCTTCCTAGAGACAGCTCTAGATAACATATTAAAGAGACAAGTTTCCAAAACCGAATAGAACACAATTTTTTTTTTTTTTCTAGGACATGAACGCTTTTTAGGGTCAGATATAATCTTGAACAAATTCTAGCAGAAGCCAGTGCAGTTGATAGGTTTTCTACTGATAGGCTTATCATTTTGTTCCCATCTCGTTCACAAGTAGTGGTGTAATTTTCCAGAAGCAAACAGCTCTGTAGATGACTGATAGATAGGGTGCATATTCTTAGTGAGAACTGGACATAACTGTATTCATTCTGTAGAGAGGTAAACAACAGTAAAGCCTCCTGTCCCAGACCACCACTATATGACCTTATTTTTCTCACTGACATGATACCATCCTATTCTTACAAGATCATTGTGCATCTGTATACATAAATAAGCATTTGCCCTGTTATACAGGAGTTGTGATGGTCTCTAATTATAATAATGTATTATTTTTTTAAACTGTTTTCTGACTGTTCAATGTTAACTATGTATTTCCATATTCTGGTTACATATACCTATTCAGAGTTCTTTTCTCAAAGACTTATGTAAATAATCTAGAAAAAAAAGTGTGTTTTATATATTAATTGCAGCATGGTTACACTTACATTTTAGAATGAAGAACTTTATTTTTTGCTTGTTATCTGACGACATAAAACATTTGCAGTTGAGAACACATAAAAAGTAGGGATAAATTATTCACCTCTTCTCTTTTTAGGGCTGTATTCTCACAAGTATTTGTATGAAACCTACTACTGCTAAACTCAACTCTTAAGTGAATAATCCAGAAATTTTAGTTAACAACACATTTGTTCAGAGTGCTGTGTTTTAAAACCATGCTTTATAAATGAAAATGCTAACTGACATCCTTAACTCCTAGAATACTCATATGTATAAAGCTAAGTATGTGCACAGGAAATATAATTTAAGTTCACCTGAGTTTATTACAAGATCAGAATATGGAAAGCAGGCATGTAAAAAAAAAAAAAAATCACAAGAAAACTTTACCTGATCGTGATTTTCATCTGAAAATGTTATAGATGTAAGCTTGTAACTATTCTTCAATAAAAATTCATTAACTAGGAAGTTTAGAGCTCTTTTCTCAAGAGGTCTGATTGGCTCCTGGAAAAAAAGAAAACAATACACTACATCTTTGATTCATCTTTCTTCCAGCTACAGAAGCACATCTGTCTTAAAAGTCCATGCAAAGCTCAGTTATCACCAGCCACCTACCTGAATTTCAGGACTGGATTTATAATTTTTTCGTTCCTGCAAAGGAACTTCATTTTCTGAGGAGGAAAAAAAAAACAACACCACAACTTAATTTTACTCTTTCACACAGGATGAGCTCAGCTATTTCTACATTGTTCAAAGTAGAGACTTAAGAAAAGGTTTATGTACACCACCTGCAGCCTGAGTCAGGTTGGCTCGGAGGGCCTGTATGGTCTCCTTGGCTTTCCGCAGTTCAAACTCCAGGACTGGACAGGGATTTGGATTAAACACACAACAGGCATCCAACCAAGGCAAGGGAAACAAAAATAAAATATAAAAAGCAAGGATGGGTGTGAAAAAAAAAATAATACATTTCTATTAAACAGAAAGCATGCAATCTTTATGGAACTTATGAACACATGCAGCAGAGTTGGTCTGAAAGCAAACTGGTGAACATTTTCCATCGTTTCACTGGCCTTAGGTTAGCTAAATCAAAATTTCAAGCTGTCTGACAAGGACTCGCTGTGGGATCTTGGCGTCTTTTTTTTTTATTTTTGCTTGGTTTTAAGTTTGCTTATTACCAGGAAACACTTGCTATTTCTTCCCCACTCTTATAATCAGCTGATAGTGTCGAACATTTTGAATTTTTGGAGCAAGGTGAGTGAGTATGCAGACAATCTGGGAAGAGATTTAAATGAAGCAAATACATGCTAGAAGCACAGGAAGCTGTCTCCATGTAGCAAAGCTTAAACTATTAAGTCAATGTACTGCCCTACTGACACCACAGATATTTTTTGAAAATAAAATTGTACACTGAAATTTTAGTAGTTTAAATGGCAGAAATAGAAACCTACTTTATTTCACTACTACAATTATCTTGTGTTAAATATCTATTTAAAAATAGTAAATTTTTAAGAATACCCTAGAGTTAATTAAGATTCTGAGCTTAGTTGAAATCATTTAAGAGATGCACAAGACAAAAAATGGCAAAATATGCAGCTCTCACATTACTTAGAGTAGCTTGCAACAAAAATATCTTTCTTCCATTATTCTTAAAGTTTTCCAGTAACTTTAGACTATACCACACTTTCAGTGACCTAGAGTTAACTTTAAAGACCAAAAAATACGTAATTCTAGCTGCCCTTATCAACTGCTGTACAAACACTGTATCTTTGCAGAACATATAGTAAATGCTCTTTTTACAACCATTTACAGTTAGAGCATCTGTGGGAACCTATTTAAGGAATTTGCATACAATTATATGCATTTCATTAATTCTCAGATTAATCTAATCACAGCTGAATATGCAGTTACGAGAAAAAAATATTCTTGTACTTGATTAGAAGAGATGAGCATGTAACAGCTACCGTACTGAAATGTTGAACGATTCCAAACAGATTTTCTAAAATTTGATTCCCATTGAAAACTAAAAATGTTGCAGCTGTTTTTGATAAGAAAGCATTAATGAGATTTTAAATCTTTGTCTAGAAACAGTTTAATATAGTATTTTGATACATGTATACATAGGATAATGCATGGAAGAAATATTGCACTGGCTCCTGCTTGTAAGATACGCTACTGAAGACTACAAAATAAATGTTTTCCTCCTTGGAAGAACTTTTATTAAGAAATTTCTAGTAATTAGAGGGCATGGAAAAAAAGATTCACTCAGTTTGCATTTATTCATAATAACTGAAGGAGTAACTACAGTACACCACATTTGCTACATGAAAGTAACTTGTTTGATGCACAGAATTTTACTGCAGCAATACAAAAGCACAACTGAGGATACAATGAATAAAAAATGTAAAAACTCTAGTATTCAGCAATGCTGATCTGCAAATTCTTCTGTGCAACAAAGTTAGAAAATACTCTTGTATTTAATAATTTTAGCACTTCCTTGCATTTCAGTTACTAATTCACAGTAACAATGCTAAGTTGTAAACTACTAATTTGTTACATTTTTGAAAATTGTTAAGAATTCAAATTAAGTAATTCTTCTGCTGGAAATTACTATGTGCTAACATTTTATTCTAGTAAAACATTTTCAAAGACCAGAACAGTTGCAGATCAGGAGTGCCCTGCACTAGAATGATATAAAGAGTAAAAAAAAAAAGTTTGTAAAACAACACAAACTAGAAAAACTCAGGAATCTCATTAAGGAAAATAGGAATAAGAAATGTCTGAAGGCATAGCAAGCCAAATAATTCATGTCAGACAAACCCATGTCAGACGGCAAGAACTAATTTTTCGTGAACTGTGATGATGCTGAAAATTCTTAGAAGCCATTAGGACTTCACCCATTCAACCGTAAAAGTAGATTACTCTGCTGCATGTTTCTCTGTATACAGTGGAAGATTCTGGACATAGTATATTCAAGTTGTCACTTTGCAGTATGTCACAACAGCCACATGCTTCTACTACAATACAGGATTGTTACAGTTGTACCTCATCTTGGAGGTCTTACTGATGTTACCATTATAATTGCCACCATATAAACATTGATGTGTCTAAGTCAGTCACAAGCTTAGCTTTTATTTGAAGTAGTTCGTTTGTAGATTTTTTATATAAGTACAAATATTTGTAAATGGCTACAATTTCAATCACATTATAAATTATGATTAAAAGCTATTTATCTTAGAAGCTTTACTGAAAGAAATCTTTTGCCAAAATATGTAATTATTTTTAACTCAACATGTACACTAATGAAATCAACCCTCAAAATCCACATTCGTTGACGATTTGACATTCTTTTAGACAAAACAGCAACTTCTAACCCCTTTACAACCATTGTCAAGTACTGATTTTTAAAATCAATAACCTGATCTCTCTTTCCCCCCTTCTTCTGTTGTAAAGCTCATCTACCTTCCAAAAGCATTTATAAAGACAGCTAAGGTTTAATTTCACGCTGTGTACATGTGTACAGTTCTGGTGCCATCAGAACAAGAAAGTCCAGAGAAGGGCCACCAAGATGATCAAAGGCCTGGAGCACCTCTGCTATGAAGAGAGGCTGAGAGACTTGGGGTTCAGCCTAGAGAAGAGACGGCTTCAGGGAGACCCTATAGCAGCCTTCCAGTACTTGAAAGAGGCCTATGGGAAAGCTGGTTGAGGGGCTTTTCATCAGAGAAGATAGTGATAGGACAAGGGGTAATAGTTTTAAACTGAGAGAGGGGAGATTTGGGTTAGATATTAGGAAGAAATTCTTCACTATAAGGGCAGTGAGGAACTCAAATGGGTTGCCCAGGGAGGCTGTTGATGTCCCATCTCTGGTAGTTTTTAAGGCCAGGCTGGACGAAGTTTTGTGCAGCCTGGTCTAGTGGTAGGGTTCCCTGTTCATGGCAGGGGGGTTGGAACTTGATGATCTTTAAGGCCCCTTCCAACATTAATGATTCTATGCTTGACTGAACTGATAACATGAATTTTGTCATAACAGTACTTCATGAAAGGCGCTGATGCAGTCCTTAAGATGAATGTACTGAAGAGTTTTGCTGTAGACAGGCTAGGAAAGGAAAGAATCACATTGATTCTCTACATCAGGAAAGCAGAGAGCAGAAATTTAAAGCCCTGAGACTGGTTAGTCTTCCTACAAGAAAAGGGCATTTCTGAACAATCTGTTTTGCCTTAGGGGAGAAAACTGTTCCTTCAGAATTTGAGTGGCTCTCTTGATTTTTCTTTTTATAAAGAACTCAAATCACTACAGTTACCATTCTGGAACAAAAAATTGACTTACTTTAAAGAGCTGGATCTTTCAAAAAAGATTTTCATATTACTGTTTTTTAGATGTTACACTTTTCATGCAGCTAATCTAATACACCTTAAAAGAGAAGGGTCTATCAGGAGTGTGTAGCTTGCTTGATCAGCTTAGAAAATTAAAAAATATACTTTCTCAAGGATCTTACTCTATATTCACCCACATCTGTTAATGAGTTTGTAAATTATTGAACCATAGATAGAGAAGTTACCTAAAAAGAACAGCTTGCAATTTGTGATATTGAACAAGCTGAGATCCACATGAACAGCAGCCATGTTGGGCCAAAGCCAAAAAGTTTAAGAAATAGTATTTAAAAGAATTTTCAGTACTTTAGTATAAGCAGTATTTTTTTTCCAATTATATTAGAACTTAACATTCTACACATTAATTACCTTGTCAGACTTTTGCATGCTTCTGTATAAAGTACATCAGACATCAACAGAAAGGCAGTTTTATGTTGTGAAGCCACTATACACCATTCTGGCTTTTCTTTTTAAAACCAGTTCTTCACTGAAGTATAAATGGCCGCTGTGATTACCTAGCACAAACTGCCCTCAGATTTGGACATACTGTAACAAGTTTTGTAATTTGTTTCTTGACTGTCATTTCAAGTTCCTCCTTCTTCTAAACTCTAGAATTCCAAACGTCCAAATTATGCTTTCTGAAACATGTATGACATCTCATTACATTTGATGGATTTTTGCATATATTTGGAGTAAATCAGAAAAAAATTAATTCTCTGACTACAGTTAACAATGAAGCCACAATCACAATACAGTGAAGATTTGATGATTTATAATTCCCACTTCGTTGATACAACTCCTAAGAAGAAAAGAAGTGACCATATTTATAATTAGAAACATTTCAGGATGTAGTACAAATAGACCTGAACCAGGAAGTTGCCGCAAGAGATGTCTACTGAGCTACAAAAATCATAATAGGCATTAGAGCTCATAAGCAAACAGAGAACTTATCATTCTAATAGTAGGAAGCCAACACTTGACTCATTAGCCTCATTAATGCTTTTAAGCTAATGAGATAGGACCAGCTACAAGGAAGACCTCAAGTACAGCACACCTGTCTTCAGGTTCAGCCCTTGGGGACTATCGACCTGGACAGAAATGAAGTAGCTTAATTTAACAACTGCTTAACAGGGCTTAAGACAGGAAATGGGAAGACAAAGTCAGACCCACTTCCAGGATGAACAAATTGAGCACACAATGCTGGCAAGTGATTATGGTATTACAGGTGTTTTTCATGGTTACTTTTGGTTTGGATTCTCTTCTGATTTTGATTGCACACAAGTTATAGTACTTACTAGAACATAAAGAAAAGGACTGTATAAAAACCAGAAACTGCAAACCTAAGTCTAGGTAAATGAAATCCTCCAAAATAATGAAGTGCTTTTTGAACCTGTCCCTTCCTTTAAAATCCTGACAGGGACAGTATTTTATTCTGCTAATCACAGATACATAGTCTAGGCTAGAAATCAATGCTAATGCAGGGAGATATGAGGACACAAATGATTGTAAAGGAGTTTGATTATGAGAATCAATTTTATTATAATTCAAAACACAGCATTGCATTTCAACAATTACCAGATTCTCTGAACAGATGTCAAAGGCAGGTTAGCAATACTAAATACTCTGAATTATAGAAAGTAGGGTTTTTACATCACAAACATACTTGTGCACACAGTTAATTTAAGATGCTGCAGTAGATTCAGTTCCTTAGACTGAATGTCAGATGAACTATTTAAAACAAATGCTGTGGGTATTTCAGTTCAACTTAAGTGTACTCTTATTCCACGGCAATGAAACAAGTTTTCCATTCTCTGGTTATTTTATTAAAATGAATATTTGAAGAAGGTTTACTAAGCCTAGTAAATCCTTCAGTACTGACTTAATCTTAGCACCAAATGTTTCAGTACTTTATACATTACTATAGATTCAAGACTTACTAAACTTACAGAACAAGTTGTTTCCCATCTAGTATATTGCAAGCTCTAAGAATACATATATTTTTGGAAAGTCAGCATGGATTACAAATATATTATCCAATTTGTTATACAGCTCTCTATGCTTATGCTAATACCAGGTGGATAAGAGAAGAATATTGATGTTTTCTAAACTGCAGTTAGTTTTGTGATGCTCACTCCCATCCTGACTGGCTTTTGTGACTTGCATATTTTCAGCCAAGCTGGTGGTAATAGGATAGAAAAGACTCACTTAATTTATTTTGATCAGGTTTCCCAAGCCACAAGTTCCTATCAACTCTTCAAAACTTGTTTGCTTCTAGGCCAAATTTTTATTCTCGTGCCAGATGGAATGAACTGGGCTAACAGATCTGAAATACTGAAAATCATTTCAAACAAGAACATTGCTAGTTATTTCCAGGAATTTTTGGATTGGTAAAATAAAAAAATATGGCAGCCGAGAGTAACACCACCCATAACAGCAAAAAAAGATACGATGGCTCTGGATGGCTCTGGATGACAGCAAAAAAAGATACGATGGCTCTGGATGGTATAAATGCACATGTTTTGATTTGGTACTTCTAACTCTGCCATGGTATAAAAGTATTTGTAACTGGATATGCTATAACTTCAGTTTTCAGGTCCTTTTGACTCAGGACCAGTTTCTTTTAGCAACTGATGTGTATTTATTTCCTACCCTTTGTTTGACATTTGACTGAGGAACTGATGTGGAAATCACAGGTTCTGTCCAATAGCAAAAAAAACGATAACAGCATGAGAAAGGCATTTACAAAAAGAAACTACTGAAACCTCACCCTGAGAACTACCAAAAGAAAAATATGACTATCAGATCATGGCCTCAAGATTTGCAACAGATTACAATCTTAGCTCCTAAGCATCAAAGCTCTTTGCTAAGAAGAAAGAATATGAGAAGAAAGAAGCAGGATGGACTCCTAGTTATGTTTCAAAGTGCATTTGCAGCTAAGAACTACTTCAAAAGCAGAAGTTACAAGCATGAGTTTGTTCAAAGAAGGAACTGGATATGAAAAGTTTCTGAAACCTCCACTGACATTTTTGTTAATGTGCAAATTAAATACTTATCAGTTTTCTGAAGTTTATCGATTACATAGGTGCTTTTAAACAGAGTTGAAGCAAGAGGATTTAAGCAATTATAATTTAAACAGAATTTTAAGTAGAAATAGAATATTTTTGAAAACTTCCAAGTCTCTATAAACATCCGGTCTTGCTTTGTTCAAGTTCTTGGTTCAAGTCACATTCTAATAACTCATGGAAAAACCTCTCTAAAGGAACACAGAAATGTAATGTAGACATTCTGCAACATAATTTGCTATTTGCTTGTCCATTACATGTGACAGTGGTCAATTAATATACTGTACTCTTAAAAAATCTCCATCTTTTTTAGGATGCACTTAGTTAAATTTAGTATTTCTTTGTAGGATATGCTAATTTCATACTAGAAGTAACCAATATTTTGTCATGCATGTTCCATCAGAAGATTAAGGGTTCTACTGGATGTCACTTCTGACTTTACTTTCCCTAAGCATCTCTAATCCAATTCAGTTACTAAAGACAACTCCAAGCAAAAACCAAACCAGCACTCTCAATATTACTATTTCCAGGAAATACTAGCTAGTGTACTGGTTTTGGCTGGGATAGAGTTAATTTCCCTTATAGTAGCTAGTGTGGGGCTATATTTTGCATTTGTGCTTATATTAAGTGATTCATAGCTTCTATAGGGAAACTCATAAAAGCTCTCTAGAAACTGCTGCAGAACTGCTTTCCTTCTTGACAATTAATACTGTTTAATACCATGAGCACATGAAGGTTTTCCATGCTGTGACTTTTGTTCTTGCAGTTTAGCCTTATGAAGCCTGAAACGATGCAAGCTGCTCTATCTGCTCCACCCTGTTGTCTCTGCTCTGAACCAGGACTCTTCATCCTAGCAGAAATACTGTCATGGTCTTAAGTAAAGGCTGGTGAAACACGGCCTGGATTAGAGAAACACAGCTCATATTCAAAAGAGATTATTATACTAATTTCAAATACAAGAGAAAAGCAGTCTCCGCCTGAGGCAAGATAATAATAAACACTAAGATAAAAAATGCTGCAGGCTCCTAAAACCAGAACAACTGGAAGAGACAAAACCCCTTCTGCTTCTTTGAAACAATCTTAAGCAATCAAGAAATCAAGTGGGAGAGAAGAAAAGCACTACAATTAACATTGGTAGCGAAGATGGAACTGAGAAAATCCCAAATTTACTTTGGATTTGGTAATGCTTGTTTGATCTATATGTAAGCTGTATTTAAGAGATTACTTGCTATTGATCTTTATATTAGAAAGCTATCACAGTAGTCACACACTACTACATAGAATATTTTAGCATGTTTCAGCTAAACAACAGTAATTGACAGGCATTATCAATACACTGTTCTGTTGTCAAAAACTAGGCACAATTTTCAACCATATGCTTGCTTCCACCCTGGTGACATCTGGAATCATATAGAAGTACACGTGCCTAAATATTTACAATAATTATAGAGTGACTTAAACATGATTATACCATGAAGTGACCAGTTAAACCACCACAGTGATGTATTGTCATCTTCAGGAATGTTAATTTAAATATAATGCTACTAGAAACAACAACTAAAATGATAAATTTCACATTCTGTAATTCCTAAATCATACAAAAAAACTTACCTGCTACTCTTTCGTCTGTTTCCCTAGTGCCATCATCAGAATATCTTGCAAAATCTAAGGAATCAAGAGTACTGATGCTTCCAGTGCGATCTTAAGGGAGAAAAAAAAAATATATATATATCAGTAAAAATTCTGAGAGTTGACTGGCTTTGATAGACACAGTCAAAGCAACATCTCATTTCAGAAACTATAAATCAAAGACTAATTAAAGTTCTCAAGATTGAAATTTTACTGCATTTTCTGAAAGTCTGTCTCTAAGTAAAAAGCATGTCAGTGAATTTGAAAAAACACAGTACTACAGCAAATTCAGTAAACAGACACTAAAAAATTCACCCTTGCTCTCTTCAAAAGGCAGCATTTCTACCCTGTCCACAGCACAGGAGCAGTGCAGCCCAGCCCTTCCCCTTCTCTACTAGAGTGAGGGACCTTCACCCTGCACATGCATGTGAGCACGCACAAGAAACCAAACAGGTACAAACCATTCTGCAAGAAGTTTGAAGCAGTTTTGTTCCCATTTACAGAAATCTGTAACTGCCCCAAATACATGAATATTTCCTTTTCCCTTGTTTAGCATTTTAAGGCATGTTAACACAACAAAATACTATATTTATCTCCTGATCTAGTCATTTACTTCAGTACATCTCCACTTAGTACAATATTTACTAAGGAACAAATTACCTAGCAAAATTAAAGCAAAGCAGGTACAGTTCACGCCTTTGCAGGTATAATATTCACATTCTAGAATTAAATAGTCAATAAAAAAACCCCAACATTCAAGCAATTCAGTAACTATCAGACATTTTTTGTTTCAGAAAAAAAAATTAAACAAAACACAATTCTGGTAATTTCGAGTATGTTGAAGCACACATTCACCTTTTTATTAGAAAAATGTGCAAAGAAATTACTCAGTGACAGAAGGCAAAACAAAGAAAACACATTCCTAACACAATTGAACATGCAGAAATTACATTAAGTAACTTAGTATCTTTCCCATCTTTTTGAAATAAATCAGAAATAATTTAAATTATAATAAAGCTGTTGTCACATTAACAAAGAACAAATGCCATATGGCTATCAAAAAAGCTGTGACTGTCAGTGGAAAGAGAAGCAATTTCATCACTTGTCAGTCAAATGTTGTCATGACTAACATCTAGAAAGTCTTTAAACTCCCCCTTGCCCAATTTTGCATTATGTTGTAAAAAAAAGTAGTAACGAGGGGTTCTTTTTCACATTTGAGCCTAGGATGATTAACGAGGGGTTCTTTTTCACATTTGAGCCTAAATTGTCCCTTAAACTCTTAGGATGACGCCGTCTCTACGTACAGGCCAGCACGACACTGAAATCAGAACACCTGGATTGAGACTGAGTAAAGCAGCAACATCCACTTGAAAAGCTACATAGAATACCAAATTTGTCAACTCTAACCAACTTACAAAACTAAACTAAAAGCACCTGGCAATCTTAACTTGTCTGTTTATGGACACAAAGTATACAATAGCATGCAGTTTATATTTAACTTCCTTTTTTGGTTTTCCCCTCTGTCATCTAAGCAATGAAGCAAAAAATATTGCTCCTCAATGAGTCTCTATTCAGTATTTAGTTTTAAAACTCACCGTTCACTTGCAGGTTCTACTCTTATCTACTGCATTATTTCCAGACTCTGATCTCATGTAACAGTTCTCTCTAAGCTGCTCTATAGAGCTTAGCAGTACAGTACAAACTCATCTTTTTACAGCATCTTTGCAAAATGGACTGCTGTGAAAATAAACTTTCCTCTTGCAGTCTTGCCATGTTCACAGCTCAGTTTTCTATTTCTCTTGCAAAGTATGTAACAGAGAAACGATGCTCAAATTTTCAGGTAAAGCCAACCACATCATAATAATTAAAAAAATTAAAGCTGTAAGCAACAAAACCTCTTATGTATGACTAATGGCATGCTTTAGAGGCAAAGGCTCTCCCTGCACAACTGATAAAACAAATACAGCCATAAAATAAACTTATTTGCCAAAGCAGCCAGAAGCTTACTGAAAAAAAAAAAAAAAGCTGTCTAGAAAAAAGCATTGGGTAACTGAAGTCTGTATCAGCATGTACAGAACAGAAGCCATTTAAGAACACACCAGCAGCTGTAAATCCAACAACTCACAATTCCCAACCAATGAATACCAATCAGTTTTACAACGGTAATGGTCCTTATGAAAACTAAATAAAACCAAGGGGTTTTATGATTTTAACAACCCAAAACTGCCTGAAGCACCATATCTACACACACAGAGGCAATTCATAAAGTTGAAACTTCTAGATTAACCATTTAAACAGACACTCTCTTTGCAAACAGGTTTGCATTATAAAGAGAAAGAAATATCTGGATTCAGGTTTATTAAACCAAACGATGATGTGCTGAGGAGCACCAGCCCCATGGTCTGTTTCCTGCTACCATTATTTCCCTCTCCTGGTAATGCTGATCCCCCTTCCCATTATAAAAGTACCTGTCCCAGTTATCACCATCCCCCAAGCAAGTGGTCATTATTAAACCAAGCCAATTTGGGTGCTAGAAGTTATTATGTCCACATTGTTAATTCTGAAGTTTTAAAATTAAAACTGTATTGATGTATTGCATTGGTGGAACTTGAAATCTAAAGAGAATTCTGTACAAATACCCAAATAAATCCTGAAGGAAATTAAACAGTAACAGATACAACTGTATACACACACAGGCTGAACAGTATCTTCTCGATTCAGTGTCCCACTAGACGATGCATGTTGCAAAACTCAATCAAGTCGGGAAATTACAGCTTCCATTACACAACTCAAACTAAATGGTTAGCTTGAATAATGTAACAAGACTTCCAACCCTATTTTGCTATAGCCTTCAACTAGGTGGAAGTGGCTCCTGCTGTTAAAAGTATGAGGCTGAAACACTTTGGGTGAGGCATCTCCTGGCCAAACTGGCTCCACAGGCATCAATGAATCATCAGTGCTAAGTTTATACCCTGCAAATTCCCAGCTATGCAGAAAGCCCAGTCAGAGATGCTGCAGCTCCACCACAGCTCCCACCGAGGCAAGTGTTTCAAGCAGCAGGAAGGGAAGCAATAGAGGACGTGCTCCCTTTGCCTTCAGTGCTGGTATGGCTGCTTGTTTCTGCAACCTACCTGGGAAGACAGGCATTCAGCAGAGCCAGGTGAGGTGAGGTTTTAGAGATGTTACCGTGCAACATATTGAAGCTTCTCAAGAAACAGAGCTAAGTGCCACACAAGAACTTAGATAGCAAGTTTAAACAGCAAAGAGGGATCTGTGACAGAGCTTACTAAGGTATCAGCCATGGGATTGCAACAAGGTGAGAAGAGAAAGCCAAATGAGACAGTTAACTGAAAATACCGCACAGGAAGGTGAGGGTTGGCAAGCTTGACAGATACATGATCAACAGCAGAGTCATGGTACGCTTGTGTTGCCTGGCAGTGCTGTACTGAAGACTGGTCAAAGCTGAAGACCGGCAGGCCTGTCCCATCACTTCATCTACCCAAAATCTCACTGTGGGAGTAACCACATCTGTTGCCTCACTCCTTGCCACTGTCTTTATAGGCAGCCATCAGCATCAGTGGAGGTTTATCTTGTAAGACTAATGACATCATCAGAAAATGATGGAATAATATCTTAAAACCTCAAATTTTACACTTCCATAAAGGATGAACCCACTCTGCAAAGGATCAGAGGGTGCACACAGCACCTCCCTGCTGGCAATGTGACAGCCTTATGCACTAGGGAAACAAGTAGGGCTGCTGGAAGGAGAGGAATTGGCAAGGGAAGGACTGTGCTCAGCCACACATCTCACTTGAGGAATGTGAAATGTCATCATTATTCTGAAGTACAAATAGTGTACTCCAGTACACTGAGTAGAAGAATTTCAACTAAAGCCTTCAGAAAAGAAAAATACTTTCTGAACTGAAAGGGTAAAAGGGAAAAAAAAATAATATATATATATATAATATTTCAGGAAAACAGTGTATATATGTAATTCTTCACTTTATTTTTAAACAAACAAAAAAATTAGTTTTAAGTTATTTGGCAAAGAATAATGAAAGCAGAATCCTGGAGGGGGAAATGGCTGAAGAAGAAAATTATGAATGGCTGAATTCTGTTTCATTCCTAGAAAAAAACCTGATGTGACACAGCAGTGGGAAGCCATTTTGCTGTCATGATTTGCACACTTACCAGTCTTCTATGCATATATTTTATATTTCTTTCTCTATTATTCTGAATTACAACACTTTTCAATCAGCAATTCCCTTTTGCTAAAAGCTTTCCTAGTCAACAGTTAAAAAAATAACTGCTGTCAGTTTAATGTTTCAAAAATGGTAAAGCAATGTAACAATAAGTTTTGACAAGGAGATATAAAGAAGTCCTGAAAGCATATCACTGCAATATAGAACAAGAGAGTGCCACATGTGCACAGAAAACAAAAGGCTTAGGCTGTTCATAGCTCATCCTAGTGAAATGCCAGGAGATAATATAGTAAAGGAGAGCCTGTGTCTAGTTCTTGTCTCTTACCCCTAACCCTGGTAAGGGATCAACAAAATCAGAAAGCTAAGTTTTTTTAATCCATTTCTTGAAAAACGCCATGGTTTTAACTTCATTTGTGAAGTTAAAAATTAGGTTTTCCACCATGTTTTGCTTATTACCTTACACAATCTTTTAAAATATTGCTTTATTTCAGAGGAAAAGAATTTTATTTCATTTCTTATTCCCAGAACTGTCACCTGTATGATACGCAGATTTCTGTTGGCAGCTTCTATTCCCTAGGCATATTCAGCTCTTTCACTGAAAGTTGAGTATAACTATATAAGGAATCAAATGTAAAAAAATCTCAAAAAGAAATCATACATTCCTTCCAACTGACATAGGTAACATGACAGAGATTGAGTTTCATTTACACTGATGGTAAAAACAGTTTAATCTTACCAGCTTACCTAAAGGGACACCACGAGGGATATTTGCCACAGTTTCACAGTACATGAATTAAGCAGAAATCAGTTGCAGGCTTCTACAAAAACACTTTATGAAATAATCTTTACATAAGCCTAGTATCATAAATC